GATGAATACTACTGATATGATGGTCCAAATCGCTTTGTTAACTACTTTCACTCTGACTCGCTAACCATTCTTAGCAAGGTGCGCCAACCGGCTTAGCAGCATTAAGTATGATATCACGTTCTTGTGCAGAGCATGAATTAGAAGTTTCGGGGGAGTTTGTTGGGGTGAAGACGACTTCCGGGCTTTTCGGCTGTGCTTAGCCGTATTTTCAGGATATTCATGAAATGTTGGTATGCAAATAATTGATGTGGAACAGAAGATTCAGTTGAATGATTGAAATTTCTGAGGATGATCTCTAAGGACGGAAATTTCATCAACGTGGTTGGTATTTCATGATACATTTCCGTTAAAAACAACCGATTGTTTTTGACAAACTTACAAGAGTATTTGTAAATTTGTCCAATAATAGCGGCGTATTCCGCACAGTTTCATTGCAAATCGAAACTGTAATGATAAGAAGGAATATTTAGATGAGTAATATAACATCTTCAGATAGTTTTTATGAAATTGATGACTGTTCATTCCATTTTCAGAGTGCTATTGTTCCGGTTAGGAATGGAAGTGCTTGGTTAGGCGAATGCCTTGATTCGTTATTGAATCAACAACTCAGCAAAAACATCAAATTCCAGGTGATTTGAAAGTTTGAATTGGGTTTCTTTTTACGCTATTCCTATTGAATAACTTACAAAGCTTGACAAAAGTTTGACTGCAAACTTAGCAGAAAAAAATTGTCAGAAGCGAGAAGTAAAGAATGTTTCTACAGGTGTCAATTTATGATGATGGCAGCATTGACGATACAATGCAGTTAGCTCTAAGCTATCGGTCGAAATTCGAATCTCGAAGAATTAATTTCATTTTTTCATCCGATAAGATTTCTCGAGGTTAGTGCGTAGTTTCTAGTTGTTTGGTAACTTCGTCATTTTTAAGTTTTTTCCAAATTTCAGTTAATTTAAACTACTACTTTTATTCTATAACATTGCTGGAGAGCATCTGTTTATTGAGCGAGAAAATTTTGAAGTAAATTTCATTGTGGAATTCAGTT